TATTTTAATATGTACACTGTATGTGTTATATATATTCCTTATTAGAACAGTTTTCTCACTATTATTATTATTATTATTATTATTTTTATTATTATATTATAATTATTATTATTTTTAGATATTTATATATCGGAAAAATCAAAATAGAAAAATTGGACATTAAAACCTTGCTAGATATAATGGTCGCGTCTGATGAACTTGTACTTCAAGACCTCATTGACCAAATTCAAAACCATTTCATCTGCCTTCCTACCGATCTCCTAATACCATATTTAATACCTCTGATAACAACATGCTATAATTATCCTTCATTTGAAAAACTATTACATAACATTATCAAGACACTTTACCATGACCCTTCATTATTACTTAGACAAACCAATTTGTCTTTATTACAACAGCCTGTACTCATATGGATCCTTGAAGAAATACATTATCTTTTAGACGATGAGGACATTTGGGGTTGTATAATTAACTGGGGGATCGGACAGCATTCAAGTTTAATGAACACTAATGTGACTGACTGGTCAAAACTTGAATTTAGTATATTAAATGAAACAATTTATCCTCTCCTTAAATTTATTAGATTTTCTCATATTCCTAGAAATTACTTTATTGAAAATATAATACCTTATTTGTTACATTTTAAAGAAATAGACAATGATACAATTCGTTATTATCTAAACTCTACTAGCATAGAATCTCAACAATCATTCTTAATCTCATTACATGATTCTATATTAATAAACCACACTCATGCATCTTTTATGGCAGGTTGGATAGATAAAGGAAAAGCGATTATGTCAACTCCTAAACCTAAAAAAACCTCTAATCGCTTTTTATTCCCATTTTTCAAACGTCGAAACAATTCCAAAATTAATTCGACTTCTCCTTCAAAGAAAATTCATTACACATTTGATTTGCTTTTTCGAATGACGCGTGATGGTCCATCTGCATATCATGATCGATGTCTGAAACAAGTACCAACTTTAGTTATAGCGAAAATACGTTGTCCGTCCAAAACAATTATAGTGGGTGGATATAATCCTGTAGGATTTAATTACTCTTACAACGTTGATATATCATCGCTTTCACAAACATTCATATTTTCTTTTGGAAATGGTGAAGGATTAGAGAAACTCTCAATGGTTAGAGTTCAGACTGATTGGTCAAGAATGGCCATAAAGTTTTCTAGTGTTGGTCTTTGTTTTGGTTATGATGATTTAACCATTAATTTTAAAGAAAGAAGTTGTGAATTTAGTAAATATTTCTTGGAATATGAAACTTCTGAACTTGTGGAATGTGAGGTTTTCCAGGTTTTGGAATCGTAAATGGATATCTACAATTATTCACATACTGATCAATTAATTTCCAAGTATAGATTTAAGATGTGTAAATATTATTTTTATAATGCAACCCTAATTTTTTTAATGTGTATCTTTCCCTTCTTTTTTTTTTTTTTGTATTTAGAATTATTTTTTTCGTTCTTAGATTTATTTTTCTCGTATTAGATATATTTTTCTTGCATTAAGCATTCATTATATCATTCCTCCAATTTCCTCCAATTCATAAACATACAATCAATAACATCCACATCCAAAGGTTAACTCATATATATAATATATTATATATATTATATATATGCATTTTGTAATTAAATACTTTAATACATTCCTTTATAATCAAATAATTTTAATTATAATGAATTTAAAAAAAAAAAAAATTAAGATATTGAACTTTCACTTAAATATTTCAAATCGACCTACACAATATCAAACACTGTCCGATGTAATCATAATTATAGTCATGAATTCTGGATACTGAGAGACTCAATTATTATCCAGTTTAAAGGGTGCTATCCAACCTTTAAACAGATGTGAGAGTTTAAATGATTTTTAACAGAAACTTCCATGATATAAAAAAACTCGTATAAATATAATTGTTGAAACTTAGGCCAAATAAAATTAATTAATTGTTTCTCATAATCTGTTCAGGTCAGCTTTTGTAAAGGTTCAATCAAAATTTTACTAATAGTCGCGAAATAACGCGCCCAAGCGCGTTATTTATCTACTTACGACGCGTTATTTCGGGACGCGTCTGAGCGTTATTTGGAACCAAAATATGATGTTTTTAAAGGATGCAATTACCGAAATAACGCTCATGGGCACTATGTCACGACTTTACGGTAATAAGTTATTTATTATGAATACTTTCTGGTGAGCTTTTGAAAATAAAAAAAAATTTTTATACATTTTTAATATTTTTTTTTAAAAATTAAAAGCCGGCCGGGCAAGTCACTTTAAAAATTCATATGTTATGAAAATAATTAACTTTATGTGGCCTTAAGTAACCTTAATAATAATAAAAAAAATAACTCGAAGAGTTTCAGCAAGCAACTTTGGGTTTGGCTATACTCAATTACAACTATAAGAGTATATAATTGTTAATAGAAATTGTATTCATAAAATAAGTTTTATAGAATTTTTATTTATAAAAATAAAAAGTCCTTAATAGACCATAAGCAGTATAATTCTATTATTTCTTTACATGATACACGTCATTATGTACATAGCTCAACGATAATACCAAGATAATATTATTCATTACTGCGATCCAAATATCGATCTAAATTCTGAAAAAGTCATCCTTTCGACCTATATGTTAATAAGGTATATTGATATTAATAATGTACCAAAATAATAATAATAATAATAATAATAATAATAATTATTATTATTATTATTATTATTATTATTATTATTATTATATTATTACGTATACGTAGTAAATAAAATATACATACACCAGGTATTTGAATATTTGATTCATTCATTTCGGATTCATCTTGGACAATAACAAAATGACGAAAATACCCTGCGTAAATCTTGTGCAGACGCAACATCACGTTATATAGAGAATGGACAGATACATCGTCCTATCAAGTGAAACAAAAATAAATGTTTAATAATAATAAGGCATTTATATATGAAAGGAAAATAATGCATTACCTGTGATATAGAAAACTCATTACCGTCAAAATAATCAAACCTCCCTAAATTATACAAACTTTTCAAATGAATGCTGGACTCCACAGCCCTAAAACAAACAATAATCAATATAGAATGATTACAATATGTACAAATGTTCAAGTATTATAATTACCTTTTGCATCTTTCCTGACTGGCGATATTTTCCAAGTATTTAACCATGTTCGGGTGAATATGAATATTCCAAATAGCATTGTTTGCAATTTTTTGCTGTTAAAACAAGAAACCAAGTAATTGGTAAATAATACAAAAAATCTTTCCAATAAACGAAGCCATACAATAGAAACAAATCAATTCTATATCGCTTCAAAATGCAATAACAATGCTGAAAAAGATTTGCTTCTATTTACATAATCCTAAATAATTGTTCACACTAAAATGGATAATACGTACCAAATTTTTAACCGCCCAAATTCGATCAAGATAATTCATCTCGCGATAATATAGAACTTTTGGTGTGATAGTAACTATCCCACCTGATAATGGTGATATAATTAATTGGTGAAATTAGCTATTATCTAAAATTTTGAAAAACAATGAAAAATATATTAAATACCCTGTGGAAAAATCTCTTTGAATTTTGGATCGGGAGACATTGAGTCCCATCCAAATTGAAGGAATTTACATTTCATATGTTTTAATTCAATTAGGCGAGGTATATAGTTTATTTGATTAATTTTGTCCACATGAACCTACAATAAAACATATTAGTAAATAAAATGTAACTGATTAACTTAATGTAAAAAAGAAATAAGTACTCACTAAGACATAATGAATATTATTACTCTCAAACCCCCTATCATGAATTCCTCCCAATGCTTTGACAGCAGTTATCATCTCTTGGACTTCAATTATTTTTTCATTACCATATATTCCAATATGTGGTCGAGTCTTACACATTTCTGCTAATTCACTGTATTTGTTCGCACAAGTGACCATCTTGATCGGATATGCAATTTCATCTTTTACAGTTGGGCAAGGCAACGGTCGATAATA